TGCCCGCGGAGCCCCTGCCCTGCCCAGATGGCCAAGGGGCGTTGGCAGGCGGGGAGGCTTCCTGGAGGGGAAGGAGCTGCCAGGAAAGAAGCCTCTGGAAGGGCCAGGCCGGGACCAGCTGGCACAGACTGGCCCTCACTTCACATCCCACCCCCCTCCCCCCAACACTTCACACAGCCTCCCCTCCTGCCTTGACTTAGCTGGCCCAGCCCCACCTCTCCTGGAGTCCCCTGTGTGCCAGGTACCAGGCTGGGAGCTCCACAAGCTTCATCGCAGCCGGACGGATGATGAAACTGAGGCTCAGAGAGAAGGACTCACCCACAGTGGCAGAGCTGGGACTTTTCCCCAGGTTTGCCTGGTGCTAAAATCTGTGCTGCTGCTGTGGCCCACGTGGCTGCCTTGAGGGTCCCGAGAGAGAGCGGCGAGAGGTTAAGAAAGACACAGACACGAAGACAGAAAGGAAAGCCGGGGTCAGGTGGGACGCTTTCCTCTGATGGAGAAGTGGCTCCGGACTCGCTCAGCACGTTTGTTTCATAATCAAGCGCCAGGGAAGTTGGAAGGGCTTCAAGGCCTGTGAGGGAGTTGTCACGGAGTTTCGTTGCCACCTAAAAGGCGAGCTGTTCCGCGGTTTTCTTGTTGCCGCTAAGGCTTCATCTGTACTACGTGCACCCGGACGTGGGGGCATCTGAGACGCCGCTCTGTGGAGCAGGCTGCATCCCGCGCTCTTTGGCTAGGAAGCAGAGCAAGCAAGGGAGACCTCGCCTTCGCTTGGGGCCTTTACCCAACGCCTGCTACAGTGGCAGCGCTCGTACGCTCCCCACATCACATCTGCTCCTGACGTGCCTCTTCATCACAGTATTGTGGGTGCTCAAGAAACATGTGGAAATGTCCAGAGTGGCCTCCTTGCCTTACCACTCCAAGAATGGGGCTATCCGGAATCTCTCCCTGGCCTCTGTCTCCAGTTTCCCAGAATAACAACCGTCATGACCTGAGCTCTGAAGCCCAGCGGGTGGGCACATGGCCTGAAGTCCAGCCCTCTGCTGGGCTTGTGTCTCAGAGGAGCACCGGGTGGCCGGGGGCATCTGGCTCAGACTGGGAGGCCTCTTGCTGAGACCTAAGGGGCAGGCTCTGGCCCTGGGCCGACAGACCCTGGGTAGCAAGTGTATGGTTTGGGGCCTGGCCTTGTCTCTTTGGAACAAGGCAGAGCAGTGGAGGTTGGGGCAGGTCCTCCAGCTCCTGGGAGGGGCCCGGAGGAGGCTCCCAGGACAGGACGTGGCAGTCACAGAGCCCAAGGAGGTGCTGGCATGGGGGCGGGTGGAGAGAAGAGGGCAGGTGAGTGGCAGAGCTGGGCAAGAGGGGCCTGACTTCCGCCTTGTGGCCACACCCTGTGCTCTTTCTTACGCTGTCTGCGTCGTTGTTCCTGCTATGGTGCGGTCTCGAGGTGCGGCCTCTGCAGCCAGACAGGCCTGGTCCAGTCGTCATCTTCTCAGGAGCCGTGTGACCGGGACATGTTACTTTCTCGTCTAAGCCTCTCTTTTCATGCCTGTGAAACCAGTATAAGTCTACCTACTCTTTTGGGCATGTGAAGGTCATTAAGCCAGCTCATGTAAATGTCAGTACAGAGCCTGACATGTAGGAAGACTTCAGGGTGTTAAGTAATTTTTTATTTTTATTTTTTGAGTCAGAGTCTGACTCCGTCACCCAGGCTGCTCATGGTCACTGCAGCCTCAACCTGCTGGGCTCAGATGATCTTTCTGCCTCAGCCTTCCAGGTGGAAACTGGAAACGCAGGCATGTGCCACCACACCGGCTCATATTTTGATTTATTGTAGAGAGAGGTCTTGCTGTGTTGCTCAGGCTGGTCTTGAACTCCTGAGCTCAGGCAATCCTCTTGCCTCCTCCTCCCAAAGTGTTGGGATTACAGGCTTGAGCCACTGCACCCGGCCGTGTTATATATTTTAATTTCCATTTTACAGATGAGGAAACTGAGATTCGGTTACCTTGCTCTGGGTCACAGAATAGGTCTGTGATAAAGCTGGGAGTTTAATCAGGGCCAGGAGGATAACTCGGAGCTGCCGTGCCATGCAGCTCCGGGCCTCTGAGGCTCACTCCCAGCCAGGCGAAGATCCTCTCCTGGGCATCCTCATGCCCCATCCTGAGTGTGCGCGGTGCAGTGGCAGCACCCACCCTGCCTCTGGCTGCCGTCCAACATGTCACCCAGGGGCAGGCATGACTCATCTCCAGGCGGCTTTTGGACTTTCTGTGGGCTTCTCCGTGATTGATCTCTTTCAGAACTCAGGACCCAGGCCAGGTGCTGGACTCCGTTTTTGGCTGGAGATGTGAGTCGGAGGGGCGGGAGGTGGAAGTCGGGTTTAGCAGGACAGCCGCTGCTCGAGACAGGCAAGGCCCATGTTGGCTGTCTCCAAAGGCCCCATGCTGGCTAATGTCAAAAGCAAGTGGCTGATGTTTGTGTGACTCGGTAGCAGATATGAAACTGGCTGTCTGTATTCTCGAACCTTTTGGGGTTGAAAGATGCCTTAAGAGTCGGGGGGCCCCCATTTTTTCAGATGGAGCCTCGACATTGCTGCCCGGTGTGACCTCCTGCCTGGAGCAGAGAGAGGCTCTGGGGTGCCTGCCTCATGGTCACCAGGATGGCATGGGATGTTGGTGGAGGCATGGAGGCCTCTCGACGAAATGGGAGGCAGGGCGGCTGGAGTCCACGGGCTCCGTGTGTGGCCTCGTTGACTAATGTCGGTTGAGAGATGAGAAGGAAGCCCTGGGAAGGCTGTGAAAAGGCACAAAGCTCTGCTGCTGGCCCTGAGTCTCAGTTTATTGGTCTGTAAAATGGGCATGTCGATCCCTCAGGAAGCTTCTGCTATTGTGCTGGCATCTGGCAAGAGAGGCTGTTAGACATGACTGTTATTCTGAGGAGTAAGGAAGGCAGGGGTTCTGCTGTGGGGCAGGCGAGGGGTGCAGGGAAGGGGCGAGTCCCGGTTCCCACCTGTCCCACCGCTCACAGCTGTGTTGCGTGACGGCTTCTCCAGGAGAGGGAGACGACGACGATTCTCACGGGGCAGGGCGGCTCAGGGCACCACCTTGGTGCGTTTTTCTTTGCTCCGCTGCCGAGACCCAGAGGGAGGCGGAGTTTCCTCCCCCGGCCAGCGGGGTGGCAGGCCTTGGCGCTCCTGCCTCAGGTTCCTGGACGGTGGCTGCGTGTCAAGTCCGAGTCAGGGGAGGCCAGGAGGGCAGCGCCTCTCCTCTCTGGGAGGTGGAGCCTGAGGGCCGTGGGTGAGGGAGGAGCAGAGGGGAGGCGGTGGGCGCCGGCGATCAAGGGCTACCTGGTCATGGTGTGGAGTTGTCAGTTTCTTCACTGGCCAGTGGAGGTGCAGGCAGAGCCTGTGCCACAGGCTGTGGGAAGGCGGCTCAGCAAAGGTCTGGGGGACCCCGAGGGCGGACCCTGCAGGAGCAGATGGCTGTCTTGGTCTGGGTTTCCCAGAAGCAGACCCCGAGACAGGATTGTCGTGAGGGTGGGTGAGCTGGGAGATGGTCCCAGGGATGCTGGTGAGGGGTGGGACCTGGGCAGGGAGGGGAGATAGCCTGAGGCGAGCGTGTCATCAGGGCCTGTGCCTCAGGGTGTTCCCCACCCTGGGATGAGGGGGTCAGGCCGGGCGAGGAGGCGGGGTGCTTGCCCTCCAAGCCCAGGGGGCCCTGACGTGGCTGGGGTGGGGCGCTGCTCGCCTCTGGCAGGCTTGTGTGGGCTGGACAGGACCCCTCAGCGGGGCCTGGTGAGACCAGGCCCAGGGTTCCCACCCATCCTCTGGGCTCTGTGGAAGCCCTGGCAGATCCTGTGCGACCCCGGAAGCCAGAGGAGCCTCCTCAGATGATGGAGACTGATGCTCTCACTTCCCTGTGAGCGGGGATTCAAACTCAGATCTAATAGGATTTTTAAAAGTAACGAATGGGACGGGGGAGGGCAAACTCCTACCCAAGGTGTGGCTGGAACTGGGGCCGGGTGGCAAGGCCCTCTCCGCGGTGCAGGAAGGGGCGCCGGTGTGTGCCCCTTGTGCGGGACCCTGTCCTGGTCCCTCTGTGCCCTCCTGGTCCATGGCCTGTGGGGAAGAGAAGCTCTCCGCATGGCCTCCCTGGGCTGTGACTGTTCCCGTGCCTCTCTGCGCTCTGAGCCGAGCAACACCCACCGAAACGCCCACCTGTCCCTCCTGCGAGGCCCCTCATGGAACCCAAGGGCTCTGGAGCTGAGGCAGCCTGGGGGCTGGAGAGCAGGGGCCCCTTGGTCCGTCCTGAGCCTCTGATGTCAGTCGGGAGTAGGAAGGGCCTTTGCGACAAGGCCAGGTGACTGCAGTGATGATGGTATCACTCCCGGTCGATGATGTTTGAATGCCTGTCACCTGCCTGAGCTGCTCTCTCATTTGCTCCTCACCACGGCCCTCCAGGATGGTGACCATGACCTCTCCCATGCTACAGAGAGGGAAACTGAGGCCTGCAGTGGGAAAGCCACCTCCCAGGGTCAAAGAAGCACCGAGGGGCCAGGCCAGAACTCAAAGCCTGGCTCCCGTGCCTCCAGGGCCACACTGTTCAGAGAGCCCTTGACCCCACACAGCCAAGAGCCACACATGGACACTTCCCCCGAGGGCCCTCCCACCGACAAAGAGGCAATGGGAGAGAACTGGCTTTCTTATTCCTGGAGCTAAGGAAGCGGCCAGGACCGTGGGCATCACCCCCATGTGGTCGTGTGACTCCGACATAGCTCCGACCTTGCCCACCTTGACTCAGATGGGCCTGCATGTGACCCAACATGACTCAGACATCCAGCCCCAAGACCAGTCCCAAGACCGCCAGGGGCAACTGGGATAAAGACACACTCCACACCCAGGAGTCACAGGCACGTGTTTACTGGTTGCAGGGGGAGATCTACAGAGCTGGCCTCACACCAGCTGGGGGCTGCCGGCTGAGTCTTCGCCCGCAGAGAGGAGAGCTGGCGTTCTACGAGGAGGCCGCGGTGACCACAAGGGCGTCCTGGAATTGGAGGGAAGGTCAGATGGGTTTTTTACCTCCTGTCCTGTGGTGTGTGCTGGTTTTGTCCGCCACAAGGTGACCTCGGCATTGGAGGTCATGACCCTGGACCCACAGCAGAATGTTGAAAGAGTCAGAGGGGGAGGGTTTGTGTGAGCAGTCATGCCACAAGGGGCCTAGGGCATAGACAAGGTGTCCCCCTGAGGTGAGTGGGACTGTGTAAGACTACTGTCCCCAAGACTAGCCACCACCAAAATTCTCCAAGAAGCTTTGTAAATGCAGGTTCCTGGTTGTATCCCTTGGGACCCAGGCAGCTGAATTTTTAACAAGGCTCTACTTTTTTTTTTGAGTTGGAATCTCACTAGGTCGCCCACATCATGCCTCACCACAGCCTCCACCTCCTGGGCTCAGGCGATCCCTCCACCTCAGCCTCCCAAGTAGCTGGGACTACAGGCACGCACCTCCACACCAGGCTAATTTTTAAAATTTTTTGTAGAGATGAGGTCTCACTATGTTGCCCAGGCTGGTCTTGAACTCCTGGGCTCAAGCAGTTCTTCAGCCTTGGCCTCTCAAAGTGCTGGGATTATAGGCATGAGCCCCTGTGCCTAGCCATTTACAGAAATCTAAGTGTATATGGAACTTGTCCTGTTTGATCGCCCCCAATTATGGTGACCATTTTTAAACATCAGCAAAGTTGAAACAATTTCACGGTGAATGCCTGTGGACCACCTTCGTTTCTTTACCCATCCTTGCTTCATCTCATTCTTACCCTTTATTCATTCCGCCTACTAGATGTTAAGACATGTCATAAATCTACAGAAAGGAAGTCAGTGTTCTGCTAGCTAAAAACAGATGAATGGAGCAAAACAGGATGTTTGGAAGTGGACTCAAAGACTGAAACGAAACCTTTTTGCTCCTGGCTGCAGAGATAGGTCGTGCACTGCAGGTTGATTTCCGGAAAAGGAAGCATGCCGAGCGCTCCTTAATGAGAGGCAGGTGAGGTCAGCTAGGCCTTTGCCATCGACTTGTGTGGCAACCACTGTGCATGCATCAGGGACCAGGTGCAGGGTATGTCTTCGATCAGTCTATAATTAGCCATCGTAGTGTAGTCCTCAGTGTGTGCTGTGTGTACTTAGACATGGGCTCCCTGGCTCCCGGGTCTAGACTCTCGGGCTCACTCTGATCTGTCTGCAGTGTTCGCACAATTCCCCACCCCAACCAGTGGAAGGGTGGACACAGGTTCTGAGGGTGGGCCGCTGGTAATAAGGCAGCTGTCGACTTGCCTGTGAAGCCCGTTAGCAGAGCCCCTCCCTTCCTCCAAATATGACCCCACTGGGGGACCTTTTTGAGACCTCTGTGCTCTGTGGATTTATGCAGCGTTTAAACAGCCCAGGAATTCAGTGGGTCTAGGTGACAGCGCTGGGTAAGTCAGGACTCACAAGAGGTCAAGGCTTGGTCCAGAGTGCTTCCCTGGCCTTGGGCCACACACCGTGTCAGGGAAGGCGGAGGGCAAGTCAACTGTGGGTTTTCTTCCTCCTTGGTTGTTGCTTTCAATGACTCTCCCCCTCTAGAGTGGAACTGGCTCTCTAGGAAGGCAGGGGCTTCTGTCTGCGTGGCTCACTGTTGTGATCAGTGCCTGCACACAGTAGGTGCTTACTAAGTGCCCGCTGGCCTGCTGGCTGAGAGGGGCACCGCGTGGTCATGAGTGGAGGGTGGCTTCAGCGCAAGGGGTCAGCAGGGCAGGAGCGGAGTACATTCCACCTCTGCCACCTGCTGGGTGTGTGACCTTGGAAGGGACTTGCCACCTTTGGGACTCAGTGTCCCCATCTGTCACATGGAGCTGACTTCAGATATACCCCTCAGGTGGGTGTGAAGACCAGGTGGGATGCTGCCTGTGTCCCAGGGCCTGGCATGCAGGGACCGTGGCTGTGACTCAGGCCATGTTGGGGTGAGGCGGCTTGTGCCTCTCCTCTTCCCGGCAGGTACCACAGAGAGCCACTTGCTTACTAAACTTTCTGGAACACCCACTGTGTGCCAGACCTTGCTGAGCACTGGGGACAGAGGCCCAGACCGGGTGGACGTGATCCTGACCCTTGTGCTGAGACCATTTGGCTACATGGGTGGGGGGTGCTGGGTGGGGGTCTCAGACCTGTGCCCTATCGATGTGCCCTGGCGCTGACTCAGATCCTGGGCCTGCTTCCCCATCTTCCTAGAACACTGAACATCACTGCCTCAGGGCCTTTGCACTGGCCACAGGCTCACTCCCTCATCGGTGCTGGCTCACGTGTCACCTCCTCAGAGAGGCCTGTCCCGGCCACCCATCTAGATGGCACCCCTTCCCTGCCCTCACGCCTCCTTCTGAGCTTGCTTGGCCTTTCCTCGCAGCCCTCCTCTGTTCGACCTGACCTTACATGCTTATGTTTGTGGCACGTGGGCTCTGCAAAGATGGGGTGGCTTCTGTGGCCTCAATCACTCAGTGGTGCCTGGAGGGCCCTCTGAAGATGTGGCGTGAATGAATGATGGGCGGCAGGAGAGGTGTACTGACCCTGGAATGGGACGCCCGACTCAGGGCCCAGTCCCGCTCGGCTCTTGTTTTTTTTTTTTTGAGTCGGAGTCACTCTATCACCCAGACTGGAGTGCAGTGGCTGCTCCCGGCCACTGCAGCCTGGACCTGCTGGGCTCCGGCAATCCTTCCGCCTCAGCCTTCCGAGTAGCCAGAACTATAGGCGTGCACTACCACACCCGGCTGATTTTTTGTTTTATTGTAGAGATGAGGTCTCGCCAAGTTGCCTGGGCGGGTCTCGAACCCGTGGGCTCAGGCAATCCACTCACCTCAGCCTTCCAAGGCACAGGATTACAGGCTGAGCCACCGTGGAGGAGGACCCGCCCAAAGGCCCCTGGGAGTGACCCGCAGCCCCACCTCCCTCTGGGGCTCTTGGGTCGGGCCCTCCCGGGGCGAGGTGTGCAGGCTGCGCTCCACTCACCCTGGTCAGAGACCACGCTGCCGTCTCGAACCCCAAGGCCTTCACTATCGACATGGGGATCCCGGACCGTAGTTTGCCTAAATAACAAACAGAGTCAGCGATGGGGAGCCGGGTGGGCTGGGCAGCCATGGGCCGGCTCATGTTTCCAGGTGGGGCCCTGCACGCCCACTTTGACTGTCGCCGCTGCCTCCACTCGCACGTCCCCTGGTCCCAGCGCCCGCCAACCTCGTCTCCTGTCCTTGTGCCTCCAGCTCCAGCTTCTGGCTGCGCGCCAGCTGAACCCCTTCCATCCTGTCACACTCCTGCTCAAGAACCGTCAGGGACTCCCATCATCCCCAGCAGAGGCTTCTCTCTATGTTGAGATTTCCCACTCTCATTAAGTAATTTAAATGGCGGGGCCAGTGTAGATTACAGGATCTCCGCACCCCATGACCTGGGGCCGAACCAGAGTGCTCCACCTTCTCTCTGCTTTCTCCCCTAGGACGAGGATGACCCGTCTGCAACAGCAGCGGCTGGGAGGTGCCGAGCACAGGCTGTGCCGGGCCCCCTGCCCTTCGCCAGCACCGTCCCGTAGGTGCCCCGTTTTACAGATGAGAAGCTGAGACTGGGAAGGAGGGGCAGCCGGACCAAGGCCAGGCAGCCAGCAGGAGGGGAAGGGGGCCTGGGCCCAGGTCTGCTGAGGCCCCCTGGGCCTGCTCCCCTCTGCCATCACCCGTGAGGCTGGGCGCTGCCTGGTTTGTCTTTGCAAGTCCAGGCTCTGGCACCAGTGAGGGAGATGGGCTGGGAGGTCGGAGGGGGACAGGCCATTTCCAGCTGGCTGACCGGGAGGGCTTCCGGGGGAGGCAGACGCTGAGCAAGGCTTGAAGGACGGCGGGGAATGGATGGAGTTGCAGGAGAAGCAGTGCAAGGCCCTGGGAGGGGCGAGGGTGGAGGACGCACCGTTCTCATTGGGCAGCAGCACGGAGACAAGGATCTCGGTGATGATGGGCTTCAGAGCTTCAGGCTGCAGGAGGGAGGCATGGTCACCTGGCTGGAAACCTGCACCCTCCCTGTCACCCTCCATGGGCCCAGTTCGTCCCTGTGGCGAGGGCAGCTGGTAGATGTGCTGGGATCCCAGGTCCCCTGCTGGGCAGAGCTCCAGCGTCCTGGTGACCAGACAGGCTGGGTGGGAGGGGCTTGGCTGCCCCGTACCAGGAGGGCGTGTGGGGTGCGTGGGGACGCCCCCTCCCAGGTGCCTGTCCCAGGGCTCCCCGCTCTGTTCCAGCCGAATCTGCCCTGGGGATTTTGTCCTGCATGCTTGTGCTTTGACCTCTGGAGGGAAGCCAGAAGTCCTGGCCTGCAGGTGGAAATCTCCCTGCTTCGGAATATTAGTCAAAACAGTTTTTTGAGTCGGAGTCTCACTCATCGCCCAGACTGGAGTGCCCAGGCGGGTCTCGAACCCGCGGGCTCAGGCAATCCACTCATCTCAGCCTCCCAAAGGCGCGGGATTACAGGCTGAGCCACCGA